TTTACAGTTTTAAAGTATGATTCATTTTAGTACCAAGAAAATTGAAACTGTAAAATTTTACAGTTTTCACTGCTTGTAACTAAAACTCAAAAACAACTTGTGCATAACTTCAAATTTCTTTCCATTAAAATAGGAAAATAGAAATGTGTAGTAGACAAAAAATAAAAAAATCGAGAGATCAAAAGTAATAGACCGATATAGAGAGGATTGTATTTCAACAACTATTTTTTATTTAGATTTAAATGTATCTAAAGTAGACCTACTCATATTTGATGTAAATCTAAGTAGATCTATATTAGATTTGAGTAGATTTACTAATTTTTTTCTTCGAAAACTCATCCCTTTTATCGTCAATGAGTGCGAAGTAAGAAGTCGGCGTAATGGTTACCGATAAACCCCAATCAATGGTGATCACCAGTCACCGGTGACTGTAAATTAGAAAAAGAAAGAAAATAATGAAAGCGTAGTCGTGGTCGTCACCGAATATTAGAGAAAGAGAGATGCAAAGATGAAGTAAAATGTAGAGAAAGAGTAGGAAAAAAAAATATGCACATGACTTTCTAATCTACCTAAAAGATTTTAAAATTAAATAAAACACACACTTTTCAAAAAGTACTTGCGGATAATTTGCCCATTCATTTGTTACCTCCAAAGCCATAATTATTTGTTTGCCCATTCATTTGTTACCTCCAAAGCCATAATTATTTGACACAAAAATTTCATAGTTTAATATTTTAAGCTGAGGGTTGTGCTTTTTGTCACATGAGACGTGATAAATAAAGATAGGATATAAAATATCATTTATTATTAAAAATTGATTTTTAAAAATACATAATTTCAGTAGAATTCACACACACACATGAATTTTTTTTTGCAAATAATAAAATTTATAATCTATTTAATTGGGAAAAAAAAAAACTTAATATTTTTTAGCAATTTTTTTTGGTTAAACCAGAGGCCAAAGGCCAAAAATAGAAGAAAAACTAAGGTAGCATTTGATTTGTGTTTAGAATTATGATTTGAGTGTGGAGTTATATTTTAAGTTTGTAAGTTTTAGAATTATGATTTGAAAAGAGAAAATTTGTTTGGTTATGATTTTTGAAAAGAATTTTGAATTGAATTTTATATTGAGTGTCAAATTTTTTAAATGAGTGTTGAGTTTGTGAAAATTTATTTGATTATGACTTTTGAAATGAGTTTTCAAAACTTAATTAAAAAACGTATAACTTATAACCAAACACACAACTTAAAATTCTATTGAAAATTTATTCAAAACTCATAACCAAACTCATTTTAAAATTAAATTCAAAAAAATAATTATTAAAAAAATAAATTTTTTATTTTAAAATTTTTAAAATTTTTAAATATTTTTTTATTTAAAATATTAAAAAATTATTATCATTTGTTAACAAAAATATTCAATTAGTACTTTAAAATTACTTTTGATTGTATATTTGGTTGGAATTATTTTTAGAATTGTTATGTTTAAATTTAAAAAAAAAAATTACTGTGACAAATTAATTTTTATTTCAATTTTTTTTGGTGTTAATTTTAAATAAATGTTCAAAAAATTTGTCATTTTGGTCTGAAAAAAATAATTTTTATATTTAAAAAATATCAAAAACAAATATAATTTTATCTTTTAGATAACATGTGCCAATTGCAAAAAAAAAAATGTTCTGGTCAACAGGCCAGATGATGACACGTCGTGCTAGGAAGATGTCCGGGTGGACGACCGGATAAACTAAAAATTTAAAAATTTTCTGATTTACCAAACATGTGTTTCAAAATGTGTTTTAAAATCATAATTTAAAAACTGTAATCAAACAGAGAGTTGATTATTAATGTGAAATCATGATTTAAAAATTAAACCAAACACAGCCTAAGACATTACTCTCCAAGAGAATCCCCAATTAGCTATCTCAAACCAACAAAGGTCGAATCAATGGAGGAGGATTTTGAGCAATTTGCAACTCTATCGTTGCTCGCAAACCTTTTGTCACATTCTATCTACCCATTGATTAGCTTCTTATCACGCTTCTTATCGCACGTGCTGCAAAAATCAAGTTCATCGTTCACCATAAGATTTTGAATTTCCAACATTACATTAGGCTATAAAGAGTTATTTTTTTAACATTTGATATATAATGAAAAATATTTAAACTAAAAATTTATCAACATCATCTCACTACTCTAATATAACCGTTAAGTGTCCATTTGGAAAGTGAGCAACAAGTTGTGTTTTGCAGCATTCTAAAAGCATAAAAAAGCAAGCAAGTTGATTTGGAAAGAGACAAAAACGCAAGTGGTGAATTTACGTAATTATCCTCCATGAAATTACATACTTGTTCAAACAATCACATGGGTTAAAAAGCAAATTTCATAAGTTTGGTGGGGTATTTTGGTTATTTTAATGTGATGTGACACCATAAATAAACATTATACAAAAAAGCAAAAAAAGTAGCTTTTTACTATTAGGCTATTTTGAAAAGATGATTATAATCAGTTTTTTTTGTTAAAAGCTGCTTATAAGAAGCTTTTTTGTGATAGAGGAAGTAGATTATAATCTGTAAAGTGGATTATAACTTCCTAAATCACTTTCTAAAAAAGCCAAAAAACTTGATGAAAAGTCAAAAGTCAACTTTTTACCATCTTTCCAAAATACCCCTAAATATATTAATTTCAAGAACAAAATCAAATATAAAAAAATATTTTTATGACAAAAGGAGTTACTGTAAAAAATAATCAGTGTGTTTGGTTTCAGTTTTTTAAAAAATGAGTTTTTTATTTTTCATATTTTTTTGTTTTTAGTGAATATTTTTTAAAATTTTAAGTAATTTTTTTACTCTTTTAGATATGCATCTAAAAGAGTAAAATATTTGTGAAAAAATATTTTTAAAAAATTAATAAATGCACAAAAAATACGAAAATATATTGAATTTTTGTATTTTTTGGTATTTAGTATATTTTTAAAAGTTTTTTTCACAAATATTATACTTTTTAAGTGTATTTATGTTAGGTGTGTCTAAAAATTTAAAAAATGTTTAAAATAGGGGGATTTTATGATAGACCTCTCGCTGTCTAATTTATCTTTCAAAATGACAAGAATTATATAGGCACTTTCAAAACCCCCTAATATTTTAAAACTTGTTTCTTTTATTATATTATCCTTATATCTATCAGCTTTCCTATTAAGTTATCTTCACAGTGTATTTTAGAGTAAAATTTTACTTTGAATCATAGTAAACTTTACTCTGATTTTTACTCTAAATCAGAGTAAAGTTTACTATGATTCAAATTAAAATTTTATATTGTTAAGCAAATCAATATGTTTTTAACCAGAGTGAAATTTACTATGATTCAAAGCAAAATTTTACTTTGAAAGTACAATTTTACTCTGAATCATAATAAAGTTTACTATGATTCAAAGTAAAAAAATTTATCGTTAAGCAAATTAACATGTTTTTAACTAGAGAAAAATTCCAGAGTAAAATTTTACCTTGAATCATAATAAATTTTACTTTGATTTAGAGTAAATTTTTACCCTGAAAGCACAATTTTACTATGACCTAAGGAGAGTATCCACTTTAAATCACAGTCATGTATTTACATGTTTGGTTGTTGAGAAAATCACATAAACATAACAAGAAAACCAAATATAGTTTGGTTGTTGAGAAAATCAACATGTTTTTAACCAGAGTAAAATTTTACAGTTCCAAATCTGTTTCATACATACATGCAATCAGAGCGTCTTATCTGTACAAATTTGAGCTGCAAAAATTTGATTTGCACAGAGCAAATCTTATACATGTATCTTATCTGTTCAAATTTTTGTTCAAACCCAATATATATATATATCAAATGTCCATGATCAGTTGAAATTTCCCCTTTCATTTACACATATATACAATCAAATCTTGAATGCAATAACAGATATATAGAGATACACACAGAGAGGTTGTACTCATCTTTCAGCCATCTAACCTAACACTAAACAAACAGTAATAAAAAAAAATAAAAATAAAGAAGAAACAGAGAAGAAGAGAGATAGATAGGGAGAGAAAGAGATGAATATACTACAACAATAACAATAACAACAGTTAATATCTTCAAAAAATGTTTGTAAAATATGAAAAAAAATTGATCACACTTCACAGATCCGAACTTAGATAGACTGAACTGAACTCAAATTCGAACTCAAATAAAATGTTTGTAAAAAATTGATCAAGATATGTTAAAAAATATAGATTTGTTAAAAAAATACAGATTTATTTGATCCTAGATCTAGACTTTTTTGACAATCTAATTGGAGAAAGAGGAGCATGGTGGGACCTAAGGTCGCCATCGCCATGAGTCATGATCATTCACTTCTATACGCTAAAGTAATAGTCATGGCGATACTTACTTTGGATTTCTCACCGACAGATTTGAACAGAACACCATTCGGTGATAAGAGTTGGAGCGACAAGGTTGATATGGCAGTGTTCCTAGTGGAGGTTGAAGAAAGAGCAGCGGAAAAGGGAGGAGTAGCAGCGGCGCTTGCAATAGGTGACGGCGACGATGGCGATGATCGTCTCAGATCAGTCACCTCAGATTGTCTCGCTAGAGGTCGGAATTGTTGTTTGACTTCTCGATCACCTCAGGCTGTGTTTAGAGGGGGAGGAGAGAGACGGAGAAGGAGGGAAGAGAGTGGGTGAAGAATGTGAGAAGATTTAATTGATGGTATAATAGTCTAATAAAATATTTAAATAATAAATTTTGTCTTTTATGCAAGATTTTATAATTATGAAAAAGTTTAGAAAGTATAATTTTTTTTTTAGTCCTTTCAACAATCAAAGGAAGGTAAAGAGAGTTTATAGTCAAATTTTTCTTTAAAATATTAAAAAAATTTATTAAAAATATTAAAATACGAAAAATAAATTATGTCCTGAAAATTAAAACCAAATCAACTGAATTATTTTATTTTATTTTATTTATAAATTACAAAACTCGGGAAAAAACAAGGGCAAAAAGTGGGCAACAACATATTCCGAGATCGCGATCGGTGCAGTGAGCGAAACGGAGCAAAGCCGAAATCCAATTTGGTCTATTTTTGTGAGCAAGATCAGAGAGAGAGAGAGAGAGAGAGAGAGAGAGAGACATGGATGTATATTCGTGGTTTCGACGCAGTGTTTCAAGACCCGAGAACACCAATAAACCCTCCTCTGCCAATGCCCAACACAAGAAACTACAATCTGAAGAAGAATTAGCCTTTGGAATCACTGACCAATTAATTGAATTCATCAAGACCTTCACTCTTGACACCTTCAACAACTTCCCTCTTCAAGGTCTATCTTCTATTCTTTACAATTCAATTACCCACACCACACACATATTCATTCATTCATACAGACATATATATATATATGTATGTTACTTGCACAGATGAAGAGGGAGCTAGTTGTGGTGCCGAGGCGACTACTGGGAATGTTCGGAAGGATCTTTCTGATTGGCAACAACAACATGCTACCCTTGTCCTTTCCAAAGTCAAGGTTCTCTCTTTTTTTTTTTTTTTTTTGTTGTTTTTGTGACATATATATATATATATATATATGTGTGTGTATGTTACTTGCACAGATGAAGAGGGAGCTAGTTGTGGTGCCGAGAATCCGGCGACTACTGGGAATGTTCGGAAGGATCTTTCTGATTGGCAACAACAACATGCTACCCTTGTCCTTTCCAAAGTCAAGGTTCTCTCTTTTTTTTTTTTTTTTTTTTTTGGAGTGATAGTGGGATTGACATGATTGAGTCGATGGTATTTTGGGGGAAAATAATTTTTTTAGGGTGTTGGCATTTTTGCACATTAAATTTGGAAAATTATGAAGCTAAATTCCAAATGGTCGGTTACAATAAGTTTGTGGATTTTATGTTTTGAGGTAAGTGATGATGCTCATTTTAAATTTAGTTGTGAATTTCAAGGGGTGTTGGATCAATGTGGTACTTGAAACATTTGGGATTGCCAAAGCTGATTTAAACATTTTGTGGGTAGCTGAAAAACTAAACAAATAATAGGATAATTACAAAGCATTGGTTGAAACTTTATTACTATCACCATTCAGTGATTTAAGGTTCAACACTATAGGTCTTTTCATTGATGATATTGCCCAGCTCTCTATGCGGTGGTTAAGTAAAAAAAAAAAATTGTTCAACACCGATGATAACTGTAAATAGTGTTAAAAGTTTAAAGTTATGAATTTGGAGAGGGAAAACAAAATTAGAGAAGGGGTTGTTGAGAACTGTTGTCAAGCTGGATTAAGCTTGGCACATCGTTTGCCTAATGCAGTAAAGATAAGAGGTGCGTGTTTTGATTGGAAACCACCCAGACCCAGTGCTAGGAAGATACTGTTCCTGGGGCTTTGCAGTTCTTTAAAATGGAAAATGGCATGGATTGAAAAACTGAAATAAAGAAAGAAAGTTCCCATCGCAGATTATTTTGTTTTGTTTTATTTTCTGATTTTACCTTCTCTCTCTCTCTCTCAATAGATAGGGACATTCTAAATATGGAATTACAAGTGGAAAAAACGGCATATTAGTTGGAATTTGAATTTGGATGTTTCTCCAGATGAAATATTATTTCATTTGTGTCTGTTGTATTCTGTAAACTGCATTTTTTCTTGGAGATTTATGACATAATTTCAAGAGTGATTTGCTGAGTATTTAAAGAATGTATTGTACTGAAGATCTGATACTAACTTCATTAGTTGCCATATAACCTATGGGCTTCAATCTTGTACTACTCAACAAAGTTCGTAATTGTTACACCTGCGGTGAATCTCAATTTCATGATTTTGATCTTAATTTCAGGAAATGGCACAACTTAGGTTTAGACTCTGCCCTCGTCATCTGAAAGAACGACAATTTTGGAGAATATACTTTACACTTGTTAAGAGCTATGTTACTGAGTAAGTTTTATGAGTTTTCAATTATTTTTGGTTTAGTCATTACATAGTTTAGGTTCTACCATGGACTTCTTAAATAACATTCCCCATCAATCCAGGATTTGGTTCTCTTAAAAGGAGAAAAGCTGATCTAGTGTGGAAATGGAGTATCTTTTTTTGTTAAATAAATCTTTCTACAGATTAGGGTCTTGTTAATCTTCTCCTTACCTTAGAGTAAGACTACAATTTAGAAATTATTTTGGTTCATCAAGTGTCAGATAGTACTGGAAACAAATCAAGCACATGTTATGGGCATTTTTGTCAAGTAATTTTTCAGAGGGTGGGAGGTTACACCTGTTATCTCAACTCAAACCTGGACAGCTGTTGTGTTTCTCATCGTTGGTGAATTTTTTACATTACCGGGATAGGGTTTTAAACAGTCACATTATTGCTGTTTTCGATAGATGTTTTCCTAGCCTTACTTATCTCCAAGTACCTTATCTTTCAAATCTCACTTAATGCAGACTAGTTGAGCAATTGTTGTTAGTTTCATTGTTTAGGAGTCCTTTTTGGTGCACTCGCTAGATTATACATTGAGGATGAAAAATTTTGAATTTTTTGGAGACATGAATTACTCTTAGTTTGAGGTTCCACCAAGATCTCATTTCTAGTGGAAATAAAAAAAGATAAATTTGTCAATTTTGATCTTTCATTATCATAAACAAGCTCTGTAGTAGTTGACACCAATAACTGCATAGAGGCTGCATTGAAGAAGCTCAATATTCTTGACTTCATCTTTTAATATGCCCACTGGATCAAACTGGGTTCTTTTATATTAGAGAAATAACTCTTAGTCTCTCAGATCAGTTCATAGAGTAAAAGGTCAAAGCATCATGACTCTGGCTTGGTTCATAGCATCCACATTTATGTATAGTTTCATCATGACATCAGTGTACATATAGCATTGTTGGCTCAATTTGCTGTGTATAAGTTGTGATTTGATCTTTGAATAGTGATTTATTAAAAGTGGACCATTCAATTGTGAATTATTGTAGTTTATATTGTTCATTAAGGATAGTTTAGTTTATATTGTTCATCAAGGATAGTTTAGTCCTTTAGGTTGTTAGGGTTTTATTCTACTAGCTTGTGTATTTGTGCTTAATTGATTCATTCAATATATACAAGACTTATATTCTCTGTTATCATGGTATCAGAGCCATACAAACGGCTGACCTAGCTTTGTTGCACATTGTCTCCAGTGGTTGCAGGCCCTCACAGCCCCTTAGGCTTTCCTTTGTTGGTGCCCTCTCTCTCTCTCTCGTCTCGTAATGGTCTATCTCTTTGTCGCAGACCATTGTTCGTGGTTCACCCTCTGAACCATTCGACTGTTCGTGGTTCACTCTCTGAACCATTCGACTGAAACAGGTGCTTCATCTCTCATCGTCTCTCCCTCCGATTGCCCCTTTGCTGCTTTACTTCGCAGCAATCATAGGAAGACTTTGCAATTTGTGGTTCACGACTTCTCTCCCTTTCCCAAGTGATTCGCAGGTCGTTCCCTTGTGTTCGATTTGTCTTTCAGTCGACTAGGACAACAAGTTCGTGGCTTCATTCTCTCTTTCTGACTTCGATAACCAGTTCGTGACTCTCCTTTGCATCTTCAACAACCTGTTCTGCCCTGCTCTGTTCGTGGGTCTCTTTTAGTTCATGGCTTCTCTCTCAAGCTTTCGCAGCATCAGTTTGCATCCCTCTGTCTGGAAATACTGTGTTTGGTAACACTCAGTAGTTTAATTATAGCAATATGGCTGATGAAAAACTGTAAGCTATCACCACTAAGTTGGATGGTACCAATTACTCTTATTGGTCTCATGTAATGAAGAATTTTATAATGGGTAAAGGCATGTGGAATTATGTTATTGGTGTGACTATTAGACCTATGAAATCCAAAGAAACTGAGGCCGGCGTTGCTAATGGGACAAGCAAAATGCACAAATTCTTATTTGGTTTCATAATTCAGTTCAAACTACCATTGGTATGAATTTTTCTAAGTATTCTACTTCTAAACAAGTTTGAGACTGTTTGAAAATTATGTACCTTGAGTCTAACTTTGCAAAACAGTATGAACTTGAGATGTCTATTAGCAGTGCTAGTTAGAAAGATAAGTCCATTCAAGAGTTCTACAATGAGATAACTACTTATTGGGTTCAGCTTGCTTTGATGGAACCATCAGATTTGCAGTTACTTGACAGTTATACCAAGTATCTGGAGAAGCAACGTCTTATTCAATTTCTTATGGCTCTTCGTGATCAATTTAAGCCACTTCGGGAAACTATTCTTCATCGATCTCCTTTGCCTTCTATGGATGTTGCTATCCGTGAGCTTATTGCGGAAGAAACTTGGTTTAAGGTCTTCCCAGTCAGTTTTTGCCACTCCGCTGCTCTTGCCCACCCCACCTTCTCCTTTATTTCAGGTTACTGGCAAGCCCAAGCATCGGGTTTCCATAGATGAGTGCAGCTTCTGTCATCAGAAAGGCCATTGGAAACATGCTTGTCCTAAACTTTTGCAGCCCAAGGGTCGTTTATCTGGTCCACCATCCTCTAAGCCGACATCTTCGGGATCTCGCTCATCTGCTGCCTTTTTTGCACCAGTTTCTGAGAATGGTCCATCTTCCAATATGCAGTCTATGTTTAAGCAGTTCAAGTCTTTCATGGTGACCAATGCAAATCTTTCGTCTCAGGCCTCCGCTATGACTACCACTCAGTTAGGTTTGTCTGGTTCATCCTCCTCAGGTAATATCCACACTTCATGGATTTTTTATTCTGGTTGTTCACATCATATGACCCATGTTGCATCTCTCCTTAGTAATTGTGTCTCCCCTTCTTCTTCTATCACTATTGCTACCGCTAATAGTTCTTCTATACTTGAACACTCTATTGGTTCTATTTCCTCTTTTCATTTGTCTCTTTCTCCTATATTTTATGTGCCTCACCTCTCAGTCTTATTTCTATTAGTCAATTATTTGATTTCAGTTTTGATGTTGTTTTCTCTTCTTCTCATAGTGTTGTGCAAGATCGAGTATCCAAGAGGCAGATTGGAATTGGACGTAGAGTTGGAGAACTATATATATCCTGGACAGCTTGCATGTTCCTCCAAAAGTGTCTTCTACTGCATTGTCTTCTTTTTGTTTAAACAATAAGGGGTTGTTTGGGATGATCTAAATAAGTGCACTTTTTGACTTTTTATGAAATATGGGTTGGGTTTGGGTTGGGTTTGAAGTGATGTGTTAGAGAGGTGATGTGACATAAATAAGATGATGTGACTTAAATAGAATAGTGACTTTTTGACTTTTTGTCTTTTTTTAAGTATGCCAAACTTGACCTAAGTCTTTTTTATTTTATATTTGGCATTCTAGGTTAGGTCATCTGTTGAGTGATCGTTTAAAGATTTTAGTTTAGTCTGGACATTTAGGCAATTTTTCTATTAATGATATTTCTGAGTGTCGTGGTTGTAAACTGGCTAAAATGTTTGCTCTTTTTTTTAATAAAAATAGTTCTATTTCATCTTCTTTTTTTCAATTGGTTCATTCTAATGTTTGGGATCCTTCCTCTATCGTTACGAAGGGTGGTTCGCAATATTATGTGTCTTTTGTGGATGATTACAGTTGGTTTACTTGGGTTTATTTGATGACTCAAAAATTTGATTTTTTACAAAATATATTCTAATTTTCACTCTATGATTCACACTTAGTTTTCCACCACCATTAAAGTTCTCCGTTTAGATTTGGAAGGTGAGTATTACTTATCTGAGTTTGAGGAGTTTTTAGCTACTCATGGCACTATTCATCAGTCTTCGTGTTCTGACACTCCTGCCCAAAATGGTCGAGTTGAGCGCAAACATTGCCATTTCCTTGATATCGCTCACTCTTTGCTGCTCTCGTCTTTTGCCCCTTCTGTTTTCTGGGGAGAAGTTGTGCTCACTGTTGCATATCTTCTCAATTGGATGCCTACTCCTCTTCTCTCAAGCTTATCTCCGTATGAGCTTTTTTTTGGTGTTACTCCCAATTATTCTCTTCTTCGTATTTTCGATTTTGCATGCTTTGTGCTCCTTCCTAAATAGGAGCGCTCTAAGCTTAGTTCTCGCTGTGTCCTCAGTGTCTTTTTAGGGTATGGCATTAATCAAAAAGGTTATCAGTGCTATGATCCTGCCACCAAAAAGCTATACGTGTCTAGGCATGTCACCTTTTTAGAAAAATTACCTTACTACACTGTACCTTCCACCCCTGTCCATGTTACCATAGATGAATTGGTTCATGTTGACCCATTTCCTCCTGATGTTTCTCGTGATGAGTTTGTTTATGATCTTGAGGTCTCTATTTTGCCTCTTACTAGCACTTCTGCTATCTCGCCAGCTACTTCCTCTCTCGCTCCTGCTTCCCCTGCTCTTCTTCTTGTTTATCAGCGCCGCAAAGCACTTCCAAGCTCGTCTGTCTCTAGCTCTACTATCCCTCTAGCTGTTTCTTTGGATCCTGCTCCTCTTGCACATCGCTTTCCAAAGCGAGACCGTCATCCTCTGAACTAGTATGGTTTTAGTATTACATGTTTTTTTCCTTTCCTATCAGTCTTTTCATTCTTGTCTTCATACTTATTTTGAGCCTAGGTCCTACAAGGAAGATTGCCATGATCCCAATTGGATTGCTACTATGAATGACGAGTCAACTGCTTTGGCTAACACTCAGACTTGAGATTTGGTTCCATTACCTGCTGACAAGAATATTGTAGGCTGTAAATGGGTCTATAAGGTTAAAACCCATTCTGATGGTTCTTTGGAAAGGTACAAAGCTCGTTTGGTTGCCCAAGACTTTTCTCAGAGGGATTGATTATGATGAGACTTTTGCCCCCCGTTGCCAAGATGACTACTGTTCGCACTCTTATCTCTGTTGTTGCTGCCATCACTGGCCTTTGTTTCAACTAGATGTCAAAAATGCTTTTCTTAATGGGCATCTTGCTGACGAAGTGTATATATGCCCTCCACCGGGTCTCTCTCACCCTCCTGGTGTTGTTTGTCGTCTTTGTCGTGCTCTATATGGTCTCAAGTAGTCTCATCATGCTTGGTATGAGCGTTTTCACTCTGTTGCACTTCAGCTTGGTTTTCGCCCTAGTCATCATGATTGTGCTCTCTTTGTTTAGCGCATTTTTGTTGGCCTTGTTCTCCTTCTCTTATATGTGGATGATATGATCATCACTGGTTCTGATTATAGTACTATTGAAGAGGTTAAGCATTAGTTGTTTTAGGAGTTTGAGATGAAGGATTTGGGATCTCTTCGGTATTTTCTTAGTATTGAGGCTGTTACTTCTCCTACTGGGTATCTTCTCTCTCAGACTAAATATGCCCGTGATATTCTTTCTCGTGCCAATCTCACTGATGACAAAATTGTCGACACTTCTCATGAGTTGCATGCTAAGTTTTCGGCTTCTGATGGCGTTCCTCTTGAGGATCCCATTGTGTATTGTGAGTTGATTGGGTGCATTGTTTATCTCACCGTTACTCGTCTGGATATCTCCTATGCTGTGCACATTATCAGTCAATTTGTTTTTGCTCCTCGTTCCACACACTGGGCTGCCTTACTCGGTACTCTGCGCTACCTTCATGGCATTTTGTTGCAATGTTTGCTGTTATCTGCCTCTTCGGACTTGTCTCTTCGTGCCTAGGTTGACATTGATTGGGCAGTTGACATCTCTGATCGCAAATCCACTTTTGCTCTTTGTGTTTTTCTCGGGACTTATCTCATATCCTGGAAGAGTATGAAACAGTTTGTTGTTGCTCGTTCTACCACTGAGGCTGAGTATCGTGCCATGGCTCATGCTACTTCCGAGATCGTTTGGCTTCGGTGGCTTCTTTCTGATATAGGTGTCTCTCTTTCTGATCTGACTCTGTTGTATTGTGATAATCAGAGCACTGTCCAGATTGCCCATAATTCAGTCTTCCATGAGCGGACTAAGCATGTTAAAATAGATTGTCATTTTGTCCGACAGCATCTTCAGGCTGGCACTATTACTCTCCCTTTCATTCCCTTCTCTCTTCAGTTGGCCGATTTTTTTACGAAGACTCACACTGTTGCTCGTTTTTGTTTTCGTTTCTTCTTGGCAAACTTTTGATGCTTTCTATGCTCGCATCCTCAGTTTGAGGGGGGTGTAAATTATTGTAGTTTATATTGTTCATTAAGAATAGTTTAGTCATTTAGGTTGTTAGGGTTTAATTCTATTAGCTTGTATATTTGTACTCAATTGATTCATTCGATATGTACAAAACATGTATTCTCTGTCATCATCAATATCATGAGTGTTTCTAGGCTTTGCCACAGAGCTACAAGAACCAAACATTGAATTACACATTTAGCTATGGAATTATTTTCGAAAATGTACATCCTTAAGACCTCGTTCTCATGATGCTGGAATTGGTATGAGGCTATGAAACTCGTGTTGTATAAATCAAGCATATAATTTCATGACAGTTTGACATCAAGTTGTTGAGAAAACTGTGGATTGTTAACTCAGTTGTCACACTCCACACAGCGCATGTTGATCTATTGTCACACCCGAGCATTAAACTTGCTCCGTCTTTCACTGGTCTTCTACTTCCTACAAAAAAATGCAAGTGGTATTATAGACACGTGACTGACATTTCTGTAAAAATTTGTGTTGTAAATTATATTGGTCCTTTTGACCCACTTTCATAAGAGTTTGACGTTGCGTCTTACTTAACCAACTGTCATACTAGCTTGAGGTCTGCATCTACATGATCAATTTTTTTTAACTTGGAAAAATTGCAAGCAGTATGAGATTGTTTGAGTTTCCCTTTACGATCATCAACCTGTATGTGTGTATGCACACCTATTAAATGTCCTTTCATGTTGGTGTTCAATTATCAGATACGAGCTGCGTGCCATACAATTGGCAAAACTTAGACAGATGACGATTGAGAACGAATATATTTCGGATACAAGTGCGTGCGAAGTTGAAATGTCAGAGACAAAGCAAGCCACAAGTCTAGTTGAGCACAACTTGGATTCCCTTACACATGACATTGAAAGTGGGAAGAATGAGCAGGTTTTAGTTTATTTCTCCTTGTATCTTCTTCTTTGAATATGTTGTATTTTTCCCGCTGACTAACAAATTTTTTTTCCATGTTTTTTTTTAATTTTATTTTTAATTATATGTTTTGACAGTAACTGCTGTGTGGGTCTGGTGGAGATAATTTAAGGTGTAGCACGAAGTATTTTTGGATTTGGGTCCTTGATCCTTATAACCAGCAAGTTGCCCACAATACGAAGAGAAACTTGGGCATTGTATGGGGAATGTTTAGGATTTCTGACAAATTAAATCCTTAAACTGGACCTTTCAGACCTGTGAGTTACCAAAGTTACTTTCTGTTTGTGGCTTTTCCTTATTCTTTTATACTGTTTTAGTTTAATGTTGTAATGATATAAAAGATGCAAATTTTGTTGATAATTCTATTATTTAATCACTTCTAATTTTCAGGTTCCCCTATATTTTTGCCATGATAATGTATCAAGTGTCAAAGTCATAATAAACAGTTATGACATCCTTAGACTTAGGCCTCGTTTGGCAACCAAATTTTTTAGTCAAAAAGTCAAAAAGTTACTAATTAGTCAAAAAGTCAACAATCCATACCAAAAAGTCAAAGATTCTCTTTTCTTTTTACTTTTTGCACATCTTTTCGTAAAAAGTCAAAAAGTCATCACAAATATACTAGTTTTTTTTAGCTCATATTTTAGCCAAATAGTCAAAAAGTTACTAAATTAGCCTGTTCCCAAACGAGGCCTTAGATTGGTAAACTATTGTAACCTAAGAAGAAGTACGGACACTTCTAAAAATGTGACGTATCGGTGTCGTGTCCGTGTCGGACACCGACACTCTTTGGACACTTTTTCGACATGTGTCCGACACTCTTCAAAACGTGTTCTATTTTTTAATTTTTTTTAAAGACTCGGACACTCTTTGGACACTTAGAGGACACACGTTTATATTGCTTAAACACGTGTGTCTATTGATTAAATACAGATGAAACTAATTATAAGTTTGAATAAAATAATTTAAGATACAATAATAAAACAAAATCATATAAATTTATAGGAATCAATGTCATATTACATTTTTTATTAGGTTAATTACACTAATAGTTCATATAGTTTGGGACTTGTGTCACTTCGGTCCCTGACTTTTCAGTTGTGACACATTTGACCCTGAATTTTGAATTTTGTTCTAAATAAGGACAATTGAAAATATTATTAGTTTTTCAAGGGTAAAGTCGTCAATTTGATAAAATATAAACTAATTTGACAAAAATAAATGTCAAAAAAATATTTTTAATTTTTTAAAAATTATTTTTATCCACCAATGATAAAATTATGTAAGATTAATAAAAATTACATGATTAATTTTTTAAAATTAATTTTACATGATCATTATCCAAACACATAATAAAAATTAATTTGGTAAAAATAAATAAATAAATGTCTAAAAGATTTATCAATTTTATATAATTTTATTTTTAGTAAGTAGAAATAATTTTTAAAAATTTAAAAATATTTGTTTGACATTTATTTTTGTTCAATTAGTTTATATTTTATCAAATTGACAATTTTACCTTTGAAAAATCTAATTATATATTCAATTGTCCTTATTTGGAACAAGGTTCAAAATTCAAGGTTAAATGTGTCACAATTGAAAAGTCAGGGACCACAGTGACACAAGTCCCAAACTACAGGGACTATTTGTGTAATTTACCTTTTTTTATTACCTTTGAATGATATATTCATATATAAAACATATAATAAACATATAAAATTATATATTTCAGGCGTGTCTCCCATGTGTCGTGTCCTGTATTTTTTAAAAATTGACATGTCGGCGTGTCCGTATCGTATCCGTGTCATGTCGCATGTCTATGTCCATACTTCTTAGATTGTAACGAAATAGTATTTGGAACATATGTTGTCACTTTTCTAAAACTATGCATTATTACTAAAATAATACATGTTAGAACGAATATAAACAGAAAATTTCTAAATACAGATCCTTAGCCTCTGTTTGGGAAGAGGCTGTTAGGATTTTTTTGGTTAAAATAGTCACAAAAAACAAAATAGGTTTTTTAGCCCAATAAGACAAAACATCACATCTAACCCATAATCATTACATTCTTTCTCTCACAAAAAAATCAAAAAAACCAAAAGTCCTTCCCAAATGAAACTTTTTAGCTCCAGGCTAAAATAGCCAAAACAGTCAAAAAGCCAACCCACTTACCAAATGACACCTTATAATGGTTTTTATCTACACACTACAACCTTTACTCTGTCATGGTTCAGATCAGACCCACGATGTGAGAGAGTTGTGGATGCAACTGAAATCCTTGTGGATATAACATTTTCCTACATTAGCATCTCTAATGGATGGCTAAATCAGCTGCCAAAGCCATAATATGCCTCCGTTTGGGAAGTGGATTGACTTTTTGGTTTTTTTGGCTATTTTAGCCTGAGCTAAAAAGCTTGGTTTGAGAAGAGTTCTTTTATTTTTTTGGTTTTTTTTTGTGAGAGAAGAGTGTAATGATTATGGGTTGGATGTGATGTTTTGTTTATTGTGGCTAAAATAGCCTATTTTATCTTTTGTGGCTAAAATAGCCCAAAAAACTCTTGACAAACGAAGCATAGCAGCTTGGGCAATCTTGGTTTCTCCAATGGCATGCTATAACAGCTGCCAAATCATGTGCCAAATTTGGCAGCTACTTTGGCAGCTGCCAAATCTACCAAGTCACCCAAAATTAAACTGTTTTCTTCCTTCCCTCCTTCCTTTTCAATTGGGATTTTCCAGAATGCTTGAAGTTTTTTATAAAAGAAATGAAATTCACCATGTCGTTTAAAACATAAATCATTACAAATTAATCAGAATGAACAAGAATTTCAGCAAATTCATCAATATTCATACCAAATTCATCAATATCAATATTCACAAATTCATCAAGAAAAATACCTGGATTTGAAAGCCGAATTTACACTAAATTCTCCAATATTCATCTTCTTTAGAAAGCCAAATTGAAGTACTGTGACCATTGAGGTTAGAGAAGAGGGTTGAAGATGGGGGCTACGGCATCGAAGGATAGGTAGATGGGGGGGGTTAGGGCTTCGAGGCATAGGGATAGGTAGATGATTTGGTGGTGGTTCTGGAGAAGTAGAGAGAGAGAGAGAGACAGCTTCGGGTAAGAGAAAATGGGGGGTGGATGAGAGAAAGTTGATCCGAAGATGAAGATGAGAGAGTTTCATCGATCCGAAGATGAAGATGAGAGAAAGTCTTATCGATCTGAAAATCATTGATCCGAAGCTCTCTCTCTGATCTTCATTGATTCGAGAAACAGGGGGAGAAAGAAGTCGAGAACCAGCCGTTGATTAATGGGCAGAAGTGTTTCGAAGTGATCTTCACTGATCCGAAGTGTTTCGAAGCTTTCTCTCTCTCTGATCTTCTCTGAAGTTTATCCGAAGTGTGCTATTTTGTTCAATGGGTAGAGACACAGAGATGAGAGGATAGAGACACACAGACACATGATTGATCTCAGCCGTTGATTAATAACAATCCAATGGTTGAGATCCAAGTGTGCTACTTTATTTATTAAAAAAAATAAAAATTAAATAAAAACATAAGTGAAACATATCCACAACGGATATAAACGGTCATATTTTTATATTAAAACGGCTATAAAAAAACGGCTCCTTTTTTTTTTCCCCCTTATAAATACAAATCTTCTCTCCTCTTTTTTTATTCAATTTCATTTCATAACAAACTTTCTAAATTACATTTTTATTTATATTTTCTTTACACAATCGGTATGGAAGGTTCATCAAAAATAAAGAGAGGAAAATCATTCACTATTTCTGAAGATATGGCACTTTGTAAAGCTTGGTGTCACATTTCTGAAGACCCAATTGTTGGCAATTCACAATCTTATACTCACTTTTGGGGGAGAATTTATAAAAATTATTGCTCCCTTCAAAATGATCAGTCAAGAACACAAGTTTCTATCCAATCTCGATGGGATACAATCATGAAATGTTCTAACAAATTTCGTGGATGCTTAGCGCAAGTCGAAAATCTACACCCAAGTGGGATGTCTCAAGTTGATCTAGTAAGATATCATCTTCATTTATTACGTTAGTTTTTTATTTTATTTTATTTTGTCTCATATAAAAATTAAATAATTACTTAATTTAATATTTTGTTGATGCAGATGCTTCAAGCAAAACTTTTATACCATCAAGATGAAAAGAAACATTTTACTTTTGAACATTGTTGGTCAATCTTGCAAAACAATATCAGGTGGCAAGATGTAACTCCTACGAATACGGTGAAGTCAATGATACATACACCGTTTTTCCCTGATTCAGCCCCTGATTCCCCTATGGATAACTGCATTTCTCTTGAAGATGACACCAATCCAAGTGTTGGTAACAATCCAACTGTCGGGGAGGGAGTGTCTCTGCAAGGGGTAAAAAGCCTATGGGTAGGAAAGCTTCAATAGAATTATTTCGGAGAAATCAAGTGGTTGAAGCTGAAGTCCAAAAAATGAGTATACAATTGGAGGCATTTAACCAACACCTTGCTGAGAAGGAAAAGAAAAAAGATGAAAGAGAAGAAAAAATGATTCAAGCACTGCAGGAAATAAAATAACTTGAGATCAGAAAAGAAGAACATGAGATAATGACTACGGACATTTCTCTTTTGGACCCTCAAACAAAAGCATATTACACAATGCAAAAAAATGAGATTTTCGCTAAGTGGTCCTCAAATGTCAACAGCCCAAATTACTATTTTCTCATGTCTCCTGATGAATAATTATGGAATAATGTATTTTTAAATTTAGCAATGTCATTTAATTTTTAATTTGTAATTTTTAATTTGGATGGTTGTTGGTGGTTGCTTGTTAGTGGGTAATTGGTGATTGTTTATTTTTTATGTGTAGTTAAAATTTTTTATTAAATATGTAGTGATATATTTTTTGGTAGGGAGAATTAATCAAACAAAATTTTTTTTTCAATTTTTCAATTTTTTTATTTTTTATATTTGTCTAGTTGAGAATAATATAAATATATAAATTTTTTAACAAACAGGTAAAAAAATATCACAAAAGACAAAAAATAAACAAAAATAAAATCACAAAAAAATTTATATCCAAACAACACCTACAAACTTAGAAGGAAAGTTGGTTGAGATTTGTTAAAAATAGCAAATGACCATTAGAGCACTATTGCTATAATTTGACAAAATAACACTATTTATTATCAAATTATAACAATAGCAATAGTATTATAGCAATAATAGTTGGAAATGCTCTTAGTGTATCATGTAAACAGAGCTAAAATTGGTACTTCAAATAACATCCTCTATTTCAAAAGTTAATAACCACTATATATATGTTTCTTTGTCTTCAGGTTGCATAAATACCATAATAGCAGTGTTATAATTCCCATGACAGTC